GCAGTGCCTCCTTGATGCACATGGTGGTGTAGGGCATCTGGTCCAGGTGGCCCCTAAAACAAAGCTGTCCCTGAAGGGCAGGCAAGGTCCTGGCAACCAGGGAATTCTCTACTTGAGGGGACAAGGCCTCCCGTCTCATGAGCACTCACCAGGTAATGGAGGCACCGTCCCCCAGGAGGCTCTGGATCTCCTCCCGGCATTTCTGCTGATGCTCTGGATGTGTGGCCAAAGCATAGAGGATCCAGGAGATGCCACTGGCTGTGGTGTCATGGCCCTCAAACATGAAGGTGTCCACTTCCGCACGGAGGTCCTTATCAGAAAAGCTGCTCTTGTTCTCCATCTGGGAAGACATGGAGAGAGGGCAGGGTTTGAGTTTGACCCCCTCCTCCGCACTTGTAGGCAAAGCCTCAGGCCTTCCCTGCCACACTCACTTGGGCAAAGAGGAGGATGTCTAGGAAGTCCAAGTGCCTCTTGCTCCTGACCTTCTCCAGGTTTCCCTCTTCTTGCAGCCGAGCCTTCCTCAGCTTGATCACTTGGTCTGTCCAGAACAGTGTTCCCAGGCAGAGCTGAACGCTCTGGGTGCTCAGACACAGACACTCACAGTAGCCCCAGTCAGGGTGCCAGGTGGATCAGGAGGAGTGTGGGAGTGGGTGTGTTTGTTGGGGTGCGAGCTCTAGCACCAGGTGCTTGCAGGTCATCACTCCCCTCAGCAGTACAGCCCAAGGAGGCTCTGCTTGAATGCTGCTGGCAGGGGCTCTCATTCAGCCTTCACCCATGGGATGACACATGTAGCTGCTTGCATAGCACCTGGCACCCTGACCCCTGCACCAGAGGAGTACCTGGGTGGGTGTTTCCCAGGTCCTGGAAGGGAAGCCAGGGGCAGGACTCAGCCTGAGGGTAAGGGGCCAGTCCCTTTGGGATGTGACTGATGAAGGAGGGGAGCTTCCCAGAGGGCAGATACAACCTGTGTGTTGATGGGCAAGCTGGCAGGCCCGGTGGTTCCAGCGGCCTTCAGGGGTCAGCCTGTAGATGATGTCTTTCTGGTAGAAAGCATTCCTTATCCGGGAAAGCACCAGGTTGTTCAGGTCCCGAATGGCTTGAAGGTAGGACTGGGAGTACCTGAAAAGGGAGGATGCAGAATGGACTGGATAGAGGGGGGCATGTGACCTGGAGTGTGGTGGGCCTGTGTATGGAGCATTCCTCAATCAACGGGACAGACAATTCTAGGCATTTGTCATGTCGTTCTTACATCCTCGAGACTCTTAGCCCTTTATGAGGGTCAGGGGCATCCAGGTTTCTTCCTGGAGCAGGGAGCAGGGTCTGTGCCTAATGAAGGCTTGGCATGGGCTTCATCTGACTGTGGCCTGGGGCTCTCTGCAGAATGTGACTCTTTGGACTGGTAAACATCCAAGCTGTGCTAACTGCCTTTCAGATAGTCCATCCCAGTTGGTAAGAATAGGACCCTGCAACTAAGGATTTCACTGACCTGTCTGCCTGTTGGTTGCCCTGGTAGCTGAAGGCACACTTCATAAGGGTGTCCAAAGTCATCAAGGAGATTTGTCCAGAGATCTCCAGAGATGAGTTCTGGCTGAGGAGCTCCTCCCATTTGCCCTGTGGTAGAGGGACACATATATCTTTCATTACTCCTCCAGAAGGCCCATGCTAACAAGGCTAGAGGCTCTATCTGCCTCTCCAAATATTCTGATGGGATGCCCTTACTTTCTAATGCAGTTGTGTTTCAACAGTTTAGGACCATATAGGCATGTGTTTGTAATATGGTGAGTATTTTTTCAGAATGTAATCTGAGAAAGTTAGTTAATTGTTATTTAATTAATCATGATCTCTTACCATCTGACTTAGAAAGAAGTTTGGTGGTAACCACCTTTTAGCGGAACAGAAAACATTGTTTCTCAGGGAACTAAGGGGCAACATTTTGTGTCTTGGGGTTGATGTTCACATGAAAAACAGGTGAAGTCCCAATTTAGGGAGCAGGGGTCAAGGCAAAGGAAAGATCAAGGAACTAAGACTGGGGTTTCTGAAGAAGGGATATCAGGGACTTCAGTTCCTCTTATTCAACAAAGGTCAGCTGAGCACAGTGAGTGAGAAATAGGGTCAGGCTCAGAGGTGATGTTATGGCAAGGCCCAGCCCCGGAGGGTAGAGACTTGGTCTCCATTTCCCTCAAAGGAGTGGCTAAAATCCCATCAGAAGCCTCCAGTCACAGCCCAGAGCCCATCTGAGTGACATTTCTGGATGTCCACCTTGCCACTGAAGCTGCTACTGTCCAGGCTAGCCAGGGGCAGTTTGCCCTCTTGTCTAGGGGCATTGACTACTCTTCCTGTCCAAGTCAAAGACATGGAAGTGGGACAAGAAGAGACCGTTTATTCACCATGACTATCTCTCCTGTGGGCCGTGAGCAAAGAGTGGATGAAAATGGTGCCTGGGTGTTTCCCCATCCCATCCATAATCAGGGGGCCCTTTCTCATAGTATGGTATAAATGGGTAAATCCAGAGGCCATGTCTTATGGAGTCTGAGGGACACAGCTGTCTGAGAGTGGACTTTGTGTGTGAGTGTGCAGGTGAGCAGGGGTTGAACTTACCAGCATCACTTG